ATTACAGTGGCTCATGCTTGTAACAAATCCTAGCTACTCAGCAATTTGAGATATAAGAATTTTGGTTCAAAGTCAGCCCAGGCAGGAAAAAGTCTGTAAGACTCCTCTCTGCAACACTAAGTGGAAGTGGACTCAAGTGGTAGAGTGCCAGGTTTGAGCAAAAAATGCGAAGTAAAGTAAAAGTGTTATGTCTTGAGTTCAAATTTCTCTACACACACACACACACACACACACACACACACACACACAGAAAAGAAACAGAATTTCTTGAATGTACATCTTTTCACCCATGGTTATAAAACTATCCTATGAAAAGGTTGGCTTTATGGGAGAATCTTCATCACATCCCTGTAGAATTACAAAATCTTCCATTTATTTTTGCTAAGGCTTTTTGTTTTATTTTGTGTTGGTTTGTTTGCCTGTTATTTGTCAGAAAGCATGGAAAGTTGGCAGTATCTTCTCAGAGACTAAGAGTATAAACTGCTAAAATTCTGTGTATTCAGTTACCTCATGTACAAGTTAACACTTCTGTTAGGAAAAGTGTGGAGCATATTAGTGAGTTTATAAGTATGCATATTAGTATCTGGTGTCCATCAGAAAATATTAAGAGGTAAAGAAACAAATACCACATTACTCCTGATCCCTAATATTTTGCTTTTCCTTTTTTCTGCATCGATGGTACAAACTTCTATGAACTATAAAACTGTTTACCTGTGGTAAGGAATGTAAGAGTAGAGATATTTAGTATTTACTAGGAAGCCAATTAATGAAAAAATTAGGTTGCTTTTAAAATTAACCAAATGTCTTGTTAGTTCCCTTGTAACACACTTTGTTACAAGCTCACATGTAGTATTTATTTGCCCATTGTTGACAATGTTTTGCCCATTCCATTTTCAGCAAGTCTACTTTATTCCATTTTATTTTTTGCTACATATACTTCCTCCATATTACTAAAATTAGTCGCCAGCATTTGTAGTGACTAAGGAGATTACCTATGAGTGGGTGAAATTGACTCATTTCAAAGCTTCTGACTGCTACTGTAGAAATGCAGGAAGAGCTCATGTCTACAGTTGATATTTCTAGCAGTTTTAGGAGACCAATATGAAGTCTTTGGTGCTCTTCCTCAGTTATTCCTTTTCTTCTGTGTATGAGGTGAATATTAATGTAACTATGATAGAAACTCGCTTTATACCAACAATATGAGTTAACTAAGAATTTTAAGCTGAGACCCTTAAGAGTACAATTCTATTTTTATTATTATTAATAAGTTTTTTATTGTGAAAATATCATACAGAGGGGTTACAATTACATGAGCAAGGTAATGAGTACATTTCTTATCAAGCATTGTAGTCTCCTCCTTTGTTTCCCCTTACTGTCCCTGCCCTCCCATCTTCCCCTCCCTCGCCAAAGTTGTCAAGTTTGTTTTTCAGCATAATGTCTTGTACATTTCATTGTTGCAGTGGGTCCACCTGTATCCCTATTTAAACAATTTGTTTTTTTCCCTTCCCTTCCACAAATTATACCAACATCAAATACAGTGAAAACAGGGGTTATACCATCAGGGAGGGACATAAAAAGCAACACAGAAATCATCTTATAAATATATTAGAGTGTACTTTGTTGTCAGTAGCTACTTTATAGCAAGTTATCAGTGATATTTTTAATTGTCATTCTTTAATTTCGTGGAATCTTTCTAATTCATAAAAGATATAGCTAATTGATAAAGAAAACTAAAATAATATGGGTCAGATACTGGTGGCTTCTGCCCTAAGCTTATCAATCAACTCAAGAGGCTTAGATCCTCAGATATTAGCCCAGACAGACAAATCTGAGACTATCTCCAATTGACCAGCAAAAAGCCAGTATTAGAAGAGTGACTCAGGTGGCAGAGTGTCAGCACTGAGTAAAAAGGAGTGAAAACATGAAGCATGAGGCCCTGAGTTCAATTTCTATTATCAGCACAAGAAAAATGAGAAACAGAGAGAGAGAAAAAAATTAGATATGTCATTCTTTTCTATTTTTTCTTGTTTTTCTATTTTCTTGTTCTATTCCTGAAGTCTTGTAAATACTGTGTGAAAACACAGTGAAAATATTTATTCAAAAGAGGTGGATAGTAAGGATAAAGAAGACAAAACATCATAGGACTTAGTCTAAAACTTCCATTTCATAAAAACTTAGGTATTTCTTGTATATGTCAAATGTTGGTAATAATTTAAAAAATGAATGAAAATGAATGAAAAGTTCTGTTTGCAGAAATTTGTACAAATATTTAAAACAGTAAAGAAGATATGTAGGGCAGCATGATTGTTTAGGTCATAAAAAGATGGCAAAAACGATAACACTTAGAAACGCTGAACTGTGCAAAGAAGAAGATAATGCAAGGAAAATAAATTGTATGTATGCTCATTTTTTTATGTGTCAAATGTAATTTCTATCAGTTCTAAGAGTTTGGTGATGGAATCTTTGTACAGTCTTTTGGTTATAAAATATCTTCTGTAAATAGAAATGATCTGACTTCTTATTTGAATCCCTTTATTTCCTCTCATATTGCTGTGGTTAGGAATACTAGTAATACTTTGAATAGAAGTGGAGGGAATAAACAGTTTTGTCCTGTGAGTGTTTGTAGAGGAGTGATTTATTTATTCCCTCTTTAGTATAACATTGGCTATACGTTTTTATTGAATGGGAACATTTTTTATTTTGATAATTCTAAGAATTAGTGTGCGCTACTTCAATGTACATGTCTAAACTATCAATAATGTCATTTGCAATTGATAAATAGATCAATTATGTTCTGTAATGTAGAAATTGTGTAGCTTCATGTGATGGCATACACTTGGGGTGATTTGGTTCTAGGTAAAGGGAGAGAAAATAGTATAAAATTATAATCTTGGGTGGGGAAAAAGCTCTTATATTGTATGCTATAGAGATTCTTTGGACTCAGTATTGAGAGTCCAAATATTAAATAATAAAACAACAACAATCATAATCACAATGAGAATAATGCAGTGCCAGGATCTAGACATACAAATTTTATACATTTGGAGGTGATAGTTACCCCATTCCTATTTCAAAGGTAAAACTCAGAGATTGCCTTCTAGAATTTCTAATGAAAATGTTGCCAGAATTTTTTCTTGTTTTAAAAATAATTCTGGGATGATCTGCATCCTTGGGTGGTCTAAATTATCTTCCAAGGTACCAATGTTATTTGCGGTGATGATCTTTTCCCAGAGTTGCATACATTCTTAATGGTCTTCTTAGAACCTAATTTTCTACATCTTATTATTTTACTTATCCCATCTTATTGGCAGTAGAAAACTAATAGTCAGATAACTTAAAACCCATTTTAAGAATGTTAGTCACTTCTAGCCCTATATCTTAGTGTCTGGAAATAACAATCTGTTAAATATTTTGTAATGTCAAAAGTAGGTCCTAAGAGAGATTATTTCATTTTTCTATTACTTCAAATGTTACATTCATTTCTTATATCAATCTTTATAGCCCACTGGGTTGCTTTTTTTTTTTTTTTTTTTGGCAGTCCTGGGCTTGAACTCAAGGCCTGGGTACTGTCCCTGAGCTTTGTTGCGCAAAGGTAGCAACTCTCCTATCACGGCAACAGGTCTACTTCTTATACTTTCCTGTCTTAACTTGCTTGAACCTTGATCCTCAGATATCAAGCTCCTAAGTATGAGGATCATAGGCATGAGCCACTGGCTGTCTATAGGGTAATTTTTAAAATCTCCAAGAATTTTAAATAGCATTCAAAATTTTTTCTATACTTCTTCAGCAAGAATATGTATTTAGTTGTTGGTTCTTTCATATATAAATTATTTCTTCTTACCTAATAATTCATTACAATTTAAGTAGCTAGAAATAGTAGGCCAAGGACTATATCATTTCTTTCTACCAGAGAGATATTTTCCATATAAAGAACCAGATTCGGATAATTTCTGACACATTAATTGAATATGTATTTTTATTAAGTGCCTATTGATTTTTCAAGGGAATTTTAATTGTTCTTACAGTTTTCTATATTAATGAGAAAATGGGAGTGTATTTATGTTAAATAATTATTTTGTAGAAACAGAAATATGAAAAAATCCTTCTAATAGATTGCAAATTGTTAATAAAATCTCAATACTGTTACCTAAATATAATTTTTACTAGAGGATGGGAAGTTTTTCTCCATACCTCATGTATGTATGTAAAATATTCAGGTTATGTATGTACATCAGATATTTTCATAAAAACGTAACATGACATTACTAGCAGAGGTTGATCATGATAGGATAATGATGAAACAATTTTATAAGTTTGAGCAACACCAATTCATTATCATGAAGAATATGTTTGCGCTTAACGTACAAGTTTAGAATTTTTAATATAAATTATTTTAGAAGTTTTTTTAAAATTTAAAATATTACAATCACTTTTACTTCCTAACGTTGTGTCTTTGGTCTTATTCCTCATATATCTGATTCAAAATTATTCCTTTCAAACTCATTCCAGTCATTCATGTGATGATGCATGAAGATGCTTAGCCCACACCTTCTACATCATATGTTCATGTAAAGATTAGCTGTGAATATTCTGATCATTATTAAATTTTGAAATCACTTGCATTCACTGCTTAATTCCCTATGCTTATTGTATTTAGTAACCTAGGCAGGAATGGTCTGTTGAATGGTTTAGCTGCTTTAGTGAGCTGGACTAATGCATTAATTTAACCAGATTTCATGGAATGAAACAAAATGAACACCGTAGCTCCTGGCTGTCAGTTGTGAAAAATAGCTGGAAATCAGACAAACAGCTCATTGCTGAAATTGTTTCCGGGGCTAAAAGTTCTTCCAACAGCTGTTTGTTTTGGCCATTAACATGTCTATTCTCCTTTCTTCTTCTTCTTCTTTTTTTTTTTTTTTTTGAGGGGGAGGAAGTAACATTTTCTTTAAAAAGAGAATGCAGGCTGGTTATTTCTGGCCAGGAAGAACTGTCCTCCACTGCTTCCACTATTGTGGGTTTTTTGGATTCTTTGATGCGCTCACTGAAGGTTTTTCCTTTTGTTTTTCTCTTTTTTTCTTTTTTGCCTCTCATAGCTCAGGCTCAGATTGCTGCAGTACGAAGAAAAGACAAATCTAGGGGCTCTTTCATTTTCAGGATGGAGCTTTGTAGCATTTGCCTTGCAGAGAAGTTTGCTCCCCAAAGGAATATTTAGAATTACATGGACACTCACTAAGGGAGTGAAGGTGTGGGGGCTGGAAGGGGGGAGATAGAGAGGCGGACAGGGAGGGAGAGGGAGAGGGAGAAGGAGAGGAAGAGGGAGAGGGAGAGGGAGAAGGAGAGGGAGAGAATTTCCCATCTAGCTAACAAGCGAGATACTTAACTCAAGATGAAGGGAAGTTTTGCCTTTTCCTGAAAGTTATATTATTAGTTTTTAAAGAATCAGGATGGCTGCTATTTTTTGTTTAAAATATTTGTTCTGGAAATAGTAAAGCTGGAGTCTACCAGACTGAGGTTAGGAGCATTTTCTTTGGCAGCGAAAAGATCCTTTTATACAAGCCATGCCTGTACTTGGGGTTGCCTCAAAACTCAGTCACCCAGCTGTTGAGCCCAAGCCTCTTCACACTGCTCTTCCGATACCAAATCTTGACACAACTCCTTTGCTATCCTATTCTTCGAGACCTGTGGAACTTGCTGAAACTCAGATCTCCATGCTGTCTTGTCAGCTCACATTACAGTCTACTTGTGAGTTTGGAGATCAACACAGCCTCCAAGAAAAGGACAAGGAGAAAGAAGAAAGCCAGGTTAGTAGCTGAAGATCACCTGTAGACTTCATAGGTCAAATGATAGTTTCCTTTTAGTTGGAAGACAAGCATGTTGGGAAATGGGGACTAGTAGACAAAATACCAAAGAAAGGAAATATGCAGAATAAGTGAAGGAATGAATATTTAGTGTATGTAAAAATCTGTATTTTAGCTTATTATTGCAAAATTAACAAAACATTCTGACTATGCATCTATTGCAATTAGTATATTTGTTAGTGAATTGCTTACTTATTGATATAGTAAATTTCTAGATACAACTCTGGCACTAATAACCACTAACAATTAGAAATGTGAGAAACTGAACATATTTTCATATATTTATATGTGTGTGTATATAGATGTACACACACACATATGTCATGGGAAAGTTTTACTTATAAAAAGGCAATACTGACACTTACTTTAAATAACATTTGCATTTGAACTAGTTTGTTTGAATAGTTGCATCTCAGCTACTTATTTTATTGCAATGTGTAGGATAATGAAATTTGTCTTGTTTTTCACTTGTAAATTGAAACCTGCTGCTTTACTTATTACTGACATATTTTTGCAGTCATTGAATGTACATTAAACTGTGGTAGCAGCTCTGAGCCATCTTATAGTTGCTCTCTTCAGATGTAGAGTGCTGGGTTGGCCCTCCCAGCTGAAGACCTTCACTGGGTCCCATCTTAATGAGCATCACTGTTTAATGCAGCAATAGTTGTGAGATCAAGTTTACCATTCTCACCTTTGACTTCTTAGGCAGTGATTTAATTTGATTTCCCTGCACAAATGTCAGTTAAAAAATACTTAGGGAGAATGCCATATAGAGAAACTAACATTGAAAATAAAATTAAGTTGCCCTTTGTGTCTAAAATGTCCAAGACAGCATGTTGAAAATGAACAATTTTTGGCTGGGGGGTGGGAGGGAAGAAAGGAGTTGGGGAGGTGGGGAAGAAAGGGATGGAAGGAGAAAAATAGAGGAGAGTGTAACAATGCTCCATAGGAAATGGACTCATTACCTTGCTCCTGTAACTGTGACCCTTCTGTACAGTATCTTTACAATAAAAATATATATGAAGAGAAAAAATAAAATGTCCATTCCCTCTAGTTTACCTGTTCAGATTTTTAAACTTCAATACAACTACAGCCATCATCATAAAGTCTTCAGTAGCTATTCATCCTCTTCCCTTTCTTGTGACTCTGTGTGTATATCCACAATATTTATTTTTAGTCTGTGTTTCATTATATAAGTATTTTCTCTTTCCACTAAAGTGAAAATACATAGAGGGCCAGCCCCCTCTCCACAAGGCCTCATGGCACAATAAGGATTAAATAGTAACTGAATGAATGAATAAAAAGGTAAATGAATTGATGAATGAACAAAATGCTAATGGTTACAAAGATTTAAAATTAGTTGATATCTTTGGGTCCTTCATCTTTAAAACAAGAAATTTGAAACGGATAAGTTTGAAGTGCAGAGAATTGTCTTAAGAATAATTAAAATATGTATAGGCTTATGGTTATACATCCAATGAAAGAATTCAGAGCAAAAGTAGGGAAGTATAAATTATTAACAAAGGATTTTAATAGTTATTTTTCTGCACTAATTAAAATTGACCAGCTAACTCTGTGAGGTTACAGTACTTGTCAAGATTCAGTGCCATAGATAGTTAGTTTCTTTATGGAATATAGCTGTTATTCAAATTCTGCAAAATAGCCTTGGTTTAAGACTCAACCACTTTGAGCCCTGTTTTTAATAGATTTTTTTAGTTGATTTCCTTGGTTATCATATCAATTAAACATTTGGTGTCCCATTCAACTCCATGGCAATAAAATATGTATGTATACTTTTAGGAATTTTGTTTTTACTATGACAGTTTCAAGATTAAAATCCTTCTCAAAGACATTGAAAGAGTACCCAGTTTGCATTCATAGTATTTCTAAATGTTCAAAAAGTGTTTAGTGCATATTCTCTGAAAGTAGGAACATGGAAAGGGGGGTTGGGTTGGGAGGGAAGGGAGAGAATGGTGAAAAGAGTGATATGGATCATGATGCACTGTATTTATGAATTGATACATGGAGTTGTAACCCCTTTGTACACCAACTTGACGGTAATAAAAGATAGTTATGTATTTTTAACCTGAAAAGCTAAGAAAAATAGATAGTTACATTAGGAGGAATTAGATTGCTGCAAACAGTAGAAAAGTGAATGTAATGGTAGTTTACACATAAGAATATTTCTTCTCTGGGTAAGGAACTCTGGAGGAAAGCAGTCCATTGTTGATAAGGTGCCTTCAGAAACTTGTCAGAAAACCAGGCTCCTTTCTGTTTTGCCCACCATGCTGCACTTGTGACCTCACCTCTCAGTGTTGAATAGACCACTAAAGTCTACCCAACTAACTAGACACTAGTGTCTAGTTAAGAGTTCTCCAACTAGTTAAGAGTTCTTTGACATCTCCTTGTTGCACATAAAGTTCCAAGACTTTACCTAGTCATAGTGGAGACTGGAAAATGCAGTGTTTATTCTAGGCAGACATATGCCTAGCTAAAAATTATGGGTTCTACTTCTAAGAAGAAAGAGACCATGGATAGTACCCACAATAAATGACTGTCATTAAAAGAACATTTATGTGGAATATACAGCTACTCATTGCACAAAATAGTTTTACAGTCTGGTTTGAGAGAACAAATGACTATTTCTGAAATAAGTCTTCAGTCCATTGCTTCCTTTTCCTAGCCATGGATTTTCGTTTGAGCCAATGCCATAGCTCAACTCATGCAATCTTGAACTCTAGGCTAGTATGTGATGGCTTACCTAGCCAATTTATATCATGTCACTTGGCTGATATTGGAAGCTCTCGCTTCTGTGTTCTAGTTTTAGATTTCTCCTCTTTCTACATCCCTATCCTGTGGTGATCACTTTATACCAGTTATTTCAGTTGATTCAGAGCTAGTATTCTATCGCTCTTCACCATCACTGACCTCCCATCCCCCACGCAAATTGTACTTGTTTCTAATGTCTTCTAAGTACTTTATTGAGGCATATTAGTCTCCAACTTTTATTGCCTCTCTTTCTTCTATCATAGTTCCATACAATTACTGTCTCAGCTCATCCTGGGTGCCCAATGTTCTTAAAACAGAATAGCTCCATTGGCCTTTAATAAATAACACGAGTTCTGGATTTCACACCATATACAGTTGGAAAATATGCCGTGATATATCAAAGTCTTACGTTTCACTTAGCTGTTTCATGTTCTGACTTCTTACTTATCTTGAATTTCCACATATGTATTTATTTTTTTCCTGGACTTTTGCCTAAACTAGTAATAGTGTCATTTTACCTTAAAAACCTTAAAATAAGAGTCTGGAAATTAAGTTTTAAGAGAGAGGATTCTGTTGGTTGCAATTCAACAAACAATATAATAAAGGTTAGGTGTCCTGTTCGTGAGTCTCTTGGTCACACCTACCACATTAATTATTTTTGAACCATAATTTGATCTGTTTTGTATCTACTCTCCTTTCCAGCTTCTTTTTACTCTGGATCTACTCACTCTTCCCTTTTGGTTCACCTGTGTAACTTTAAGATATGTTGTTGTTGATAATAATGATATAGAAGGCAATTATTTTTTATTATCTATTTTATCCATAGGAAAATTTTCATTTCATTCATATAACATTTCTAAGAAGATACTATTATTCATACTTACAAGAAAGAAAACACAGCTTAGAAAGAGTAGGTAATGAGAATAAGATGGAATGGTTGAGTATTACTGAAATCCAGAATTTGAATGTAGTTGATCTCTTTGAAGTTTTTTTTTGTTTCTCTAATTTTGCAGCCTCTCTTCATGGTGGTGTTAAATATTTGTCCTTAGGTCTACCTTGTCCTACAAATCTCTGTAAAAATCATTTCGAAAGTCAAATAAAAATGTGAACAAATTGTTGTAAGGGCAAAAAGAAAAGGGATCATTACATTCACCAGGGACATCTAAAATTTTTTCATCAAAGACTTGGTCGGGATTTTTGTCCATGTTATTATGCATTTTTATTTAATTTTCTTAGTGTCGAGTTGTAAGAGACACCAGAGTAGAGCTTGAAAAGGCCAGAATTGATATTTTGAAAGAAAAACATATTAAAAGATACCAGTACAGTTGTTTCTGATTTAGATAAACACAATATTGAATAGTAATGAATTGTCATATTTATGAGTATGATTCTTTTGGAAGTTTGTAAGGCTGAGAGAAATCCTATTTCCCTGGGACATAAAGAAAAGTAAAGTTTCTGGAATGGAACTGGGAGGGTGACTTTTGGAGAGGGGGATAAAACTCTAGAAAGTCTAGAAAGAATTCTTTAGAGAAAAGCCTGGTGTAGAAGAATGACCAGTAAGTGAGCCATTACAGTGGAAGCAGAATATTCCTGTAAATTAGATTTGTCAGATTATAAGTGAGAAACAACTTCATGAGGTAAACAGTGAAGAAAGCTCTCATTTGAGAAGGAGATAAAATTATTTCTGCCATATATAGGAGAAATTACAGCTGGGAAGGCCTAATACTAACTAATGTTGTTCTTATTGTTCGGTTTTATATGAGACAAAGCCCCACTCTGTAGCCTGAGCTTTCCATCAACTCATGATGCTACTGCCTCAGTCTCCCAGATAAGGGATTATAGATATACACCACCATATCTGACTTCACTAATATTGTTAATGTTTTGGAGATGCAAAGTACTGAAATATTTCTTAGAAAATCTCATTCAGTCTTTGCGATAGCTTTAGGATTGAGGCACAGGCATTGTTATTGTCCTAATTTTTAAAGAAGCAGAGATGGAAGTTTAGAGAAGATAAATTATTTGTCAGTAATTCAATAGAATAGTGTGAGAGAATGAAGATTCACAGTCAAGTTGTATATTTGCTGAACATGTTCCTCTTAACTAATAGAATAAATTGCCACAGTAAAGACTTCTGATGGGTTTGTGGAGAAAGGGAAGATTACTGATAGACT